AGAGAGAAACATCGATCAGCTGCCTCCTGCACACTCCCCACTGGGGATGTTCCCCGCAACCAAGGCACACGCCCCTGACCGGAATCGAACCCGGGACCCTTGAGTCTGAGGCTGACGCTCTATCCACTGAGCCAAACCGGTCAGGGCTGTTTTTGTTTTTTCCTCCTCCTCACCCAAGCATATTTTCAGTCTGAGGGCCAATGCTCTAATCGTTGAGCAAACTGGCTAGGGCTCAATTACATTCTTGAACCTGTTTCCTGGATTTCCCCTCTTGGCGAATGGCATCTCATCCATCCGGTTGCCCAAGGCAGAAATGTAGAATCCAGCCTTGATTCTGACTCCTTTGTTGCCTTTGATCCTTCTGTCATGCCTGCTCTGTGACTAACTCTCCAGTGCCTCTGCTTCTGTCCATTTCCACTGCTGCTGCCGGCCTTGGTTTACACCTTACGCCCTAGGCAATAGCCTCTTAACAAATGTCCCTGCTTCTTTTTTTACTTTATTCACAAGCCGTTCTCCAAACCAGCCACAATCAGTTTTAGAAATGCAAATCCGGTCTCCTTAGCTTCAAGTCCCAAAATGGCTCTCCATTGCATTAGTCCTCTCCTTCCAAGCACCCATGGGACCGAGCTCCCTTTTATCGCTGGAATTCTTGCCCCCTTTCCCCATCCTGAGCTTCTGCCTTGGTTTAGCTGTCCCTTTCATTGACCGTAACAGCCAAAGGCAAGGTTAGATGGTCTTCCTAGTAGGTCCTTATCACTTTCATTATGTATACTTACCAACCTGAAGGGCACTTGTCTGAATCCACTACTGTATTAGGTTATAAACTCCTTCAGGGTAAGGACTGTATCAAGAGCGTAATAGTCATCTTGTCTGAGTTCCAGGCCTGGCTCTGTCATTTTCTATCTTTTTGACCTTGGGAAACTATTTAGCGTCCCTTTGATTCAATTTCATCATGTACAAAAATTAAGCGTATGTGATAGTAAGTACCTAACTCATATTACCGGTGTTAGATTTAAATGTAATGCCTGGCACGTAGGAAGCATTTGAAAAATGTTAGCTATAAAAATAATAATAATAAATTAGCTATTATGGTTGAATTTTGGAGCATTGGGGAGCAGTTTGAGTGAGATCTTGAGATATTTTGAGCTGCACTTCAAAAAAAGGTACATGAGTGTATGTATATATGTTGTTCGATTCTGCCAGAAATAGCTAATTTTATCTGTCAAAATTTCCTTCTAGCACGCTCTTTTGAGTCACGGATTTTGGCTTTTAAGTAAGCTAAAGGCTGTTAGTTGGGAGAACGGCCAGGAAAACTTATCCGCGGCTTTTGAATCACATGTTGAACAAATCTGGCCACACGAGCGTCAAGCTGCCTTCTGTTTCTAATCATTTTCCTTTCTAATTTAGTTTCTCCCACCAAAAGGGATTATAATTGATTTTCACTGCAGAGTCCATGGAAGATGTAAAGGCAATTATTTCCAAGTAGATGGAACCCGTATTGCTGTCACCATGGAGCTCATCCCAGGTGCTAAGCAGCAGCAATACTTCCTTAGACAGAGAGGACGTGCCTCTGAGCTGCAGGAACCGCAGGAGTGTCGGCTGAGCCCTGGCCGATGGAGCTCGATTGAGTGTCTTGAGGGTCAACCTTCACATCAAAAGGTCACTGGTCTGATTCTGGTCAGGGCACCTGCCTCCGCTGGGTACAGACTCCATCTCCAGGAGGGGGCATGCAGGAGGCAGCCAGTTGAAGGGATTGGTGGTTTCGATGTTTCTCTCCCTTCCTCTCTCTCTAAAATCAATAAAAACACATATATTTGTAATTACTATCTTAAAAAGTCTTGGCTGAGAGAAACCTCTCTTCTCACCGACACCTCTGAAATTATTATTTTAAAAAAAGAGTGGCAGCAGCATAAAAATAAAATGTGTACATGGATATCTTGATAGTTGTGGATAGCGAGAAGCAAAAAAAAAAAAAGTTCTATTGGAAAAATTTAGGAGAACTAGGTGATTAAAATAACTCACACGAGTTATTCTTTTATAAAATAAAGAATGACCCCCCTATGTATTTGTGTGTTACATAAGTACCTCAATACAGTCAAAATGGAATTATGTTCTTTCAATTACATTATTTTTTAATATATATATATATATATTATTGATTTTTTACAGAGAGGAGGGGAGAGGAATAGAGATTCAGAAACATCGAAGAAAGAGAAACATCAATCAGCTGCCTCCTGCACACCCACTCCTGGGGATGTGCACACAACCAAGGTATATGCCTTTGACCGGAATCGAATCTGGTACCCTTCAGTCC